TCTTCATATGCTTCTACTTCATCAGCCTAAGATTGAGTTGAATTTTTCTCCTAGGCTTGATTCCAAAGGTCAGTATTCTCTTCTTGTTCTTCAATTTTGACGACATAGCTATCTGTTTCTTCTTCATCATCATATTTTAATCCTTGCTCAATTATTTCATCAAGTTCATCCTTGATGGTTAAAGCTTGAATTCTCTTTCCAACTACACATTGTACTGGGACTATGGCTTTATCCAATCCAAAGGTAAGGATCATTTCATTATTCTCAAAGTCAACATTAACTTTGTTTTTCTTGCACCAATCGATTCCTAACAATAAGGTTTGATCAGTCGAATCAATAACTTGAAATGTCATTTTGATAAGAATTCCTTGAATGATTAATAGCACATTTTTAATGGTTCCTAGTGCTCTTTCTCTTTGTCTATTTGCAGTTACAATGATTATTTGTGAAGGTTCATCAATGTCTAATTCAAGTTTCATTATTAACTTGTGCGTCATAATGCTTACTGCAGCTCCTGTATCAATGATAGCAGTTACAGGGTTTTTCTTAATTTTAATATGACATCTCAATGCCATAGTTCGCTCTTCTTCTTCTAAAGTACTAATAAATGCTGCATTTCCTTCTAATTTAGGTCTTCTCATCCCTTAAAGAAGTTTTTGTTGCTGCACTCTGAATTGCATCATTTATCCCATATTAACATTACTTTAATGTTTACAAAATCGTCCCAAATGTTGTAAGGTTCAATATTATCCAAAAGTGATGATCCTCTAGGTATTCTCTTCCTAGGCTTAGTAGTATTGTCTACCACTGTTTGGGGTATTTGTTCAATTATTTCTATTTGTTTATTAATTGTTTGGAATCGAGTTTATCTGGTATTAGTTTCTCTTTGCGATTCAGATCTTTTCCTCTTAATCGCTGAAAAACTTCTTGTTCAAGTATATTTACTTCCTTTCTATTTTGATCTTCATTTCTAGTTCTCCAGTTATCTTGTGATAAAACTTTTCTGAGAGGCATCATCTGGCTATATGACCTTTTTCTCCACATCTGAAACAAATTAATTTCTTCCTTGGTTTGCCTTCAGGATTGTAGCTTTTTCTTTCAGCTGGATTAGTAATCAATGCAGCCATAATATTTACTTGATTCAGAGCCATTTGTTCGAATTGTTTAGACAATTTTTCAATATCATCTTCAACTTTTGGCTTGCTAAAATCGTGGTCTGTTGCATAATATCTTC